CATCCCATCCCATACCATCTCCATCCCATACCATCCCCATCCCCATATCCCCATCCCCATCCCCATCCCACCCCACTCCCCATATCCCCTCCCCCGGTGCCATTCCCTGTCCCCACAGGACGCCCCACAGTTCTGCAGCTGGTTGCAGCTGGGACGGGGATTGCAGGAAGGGGGGGAGGGGGTGGGCTGCAGAGGTGGATCAGAGTCCTCCGACCGTGCCCTACGGTGGCACGGCACGTTTGGGGTCCGTGCCCCGGTGTGGCTGCAGCGCGGCCCCGTGCCGTCTCCCGATGTCGTGGAGCGATTCCCGGTCCCCCCGTGCAGCGCTGCGCGGTGCTGCGCCCAACCTGCGGGCTTTGGGGCGGTGGCGGTGCCCCCCTCCCGGCCCCGTTTGTCCCGACCCCATCGCAACGCCGTCGTCCCTTAAACCGCCTCCGCTCTCATCGCTCCGCATAGAAGCGCCGGTGCCGCAGCGGCGGGGGTCCGGACCGCCTCGCTCCCCGTGGGGCGCAGCGCCCACCACGCCCGGCGTGGGCTGCGGCCGCCGGTGCGAATTGCGCAGCGCATTCCTGCGCCGTGGAAGTGGAACCCGCCCCGCACCGCCCGCACCGGGACGCAAAACCCGGGGGGTCCCCGCGCCGCTCTGTGCCCCCCCCCACGTGCACGAGTGACCCCACCGCTCTGCCCCCCTCTTCCCCCCCCCTCCTCGGGCTGCCCGTGGGGCGGAGGCAGCGGCTCAGCGAGGCAGAGCAGCACCGCGTCCCATCGCACTGCCCGCACTGCAGTCGGGTCTGCTGTGCCGTGCCGTTCCGTGCCATGCCGTGCTGTGCCTTGCTGTGCCTTGCCGTGCCTTTCCATGCCATGCCATGCTGTGCTATGCTGTACCATGCCGTGCCATGCCGTGCCGTGCCTTGCTGTGCTTTTCCATGCCATGCCGTGCTGTGCCATGCCATGCTGTGCCTTTCCACGCCACGCCGTGCCACTCTATGCTGTGCTGTGCCGTGCCATGTCATGCCATGCTGTGCCATGCTGTGCTGTGCCATGCTGTGCCTTGCTGTGCCTTGCTGTGCCTTTCCATGCCATGCTGTGCCGTGCCATGATATACCATGCCGTGCCATGCCTTGCTGTGCCTTGCTGTTCCTTTTGTTGAGTTGTGCCATACCATGCTGTGCTGTGCTGTGCCGTGCTGTGCCATGCTGCACTGTGCTGTGCCATGCTGTTCTGTGCCATGCTGCACTGTGCAGGGTCATGCTGTGCTGTGCCATGCTGCACAGTACAGGGCCATGCTGTGCTGCACTGTGCAGTGCTGTGCCATGCTGTGCCGTGCCATGCTGCACTGCGCTGTGCCATGCTGTGTTGCACTGTGCAGTGCTGTGCCATGCTGCACAGTACAGGGCCATGCTGTGCTGTGCCATTCCATGCCATGCTGTGCCACGCTGTGCTGCACAGTGCTGTGCCATGCTGTGCTGTACAGTGCCATGCCATGCTGTGCAGCACAGTGCAGTGCTGTGCTGTGCCATGCCATGTCATACAATGTCATACAATGCCATACAATGCCGTGCAGTTCCATGCCATGCCATGCCATGCAGTGCCATGCAGTGCCAAGCCGTGCTGTGTTGCGCCACTCAGTGCCACACCACGGGCTCATCCCGTGCCTTGGATACGGGCATCCCTCCAGACAACACAACTCCCACGCACCACAAACATTGCGCCCAAACGCAGCGCTTCTCCCCCTCCCCGCACGGCGACCCGCATCGCCCGGGGGCTCCCGAAGCGCCCGCAGCACCACCCAGAGGCGAAGCGGCGGCTCAGGGTGCGGACACGACCCGGTTGTGGGAGTCCCGGTCCGGGGCACCTCCAGGTGGGGCACGCCCGGCGGCCGGGCTGGGGGCACGGCGCTGCGGATGGGGGTCCCTTCCTAAACGCTGCTCGGTATCGGGGGGGCCGGGAGAGAGGATTCGGCACAGAGTGGGCACCGCAGAGCGGCGGGGTGAGGGGGAAGCGGGAGAGGGGAGGGACCGCGCCGGAATGTGCGGAGCTTCTGGGGTGGGGGGAGAGTTGTAGGGATGGGGGGTGGGGGGGAGGCTGATGGGACTGGGGGGAGAGGGCACACAGAACCCGATATCACCTCCACCACAGGCAGCACTGTCCACGGATGGGGTTGGGTTGGGGTCAGGGTTGGGTTTGGGGATGGGGTTGGTGGTCAGGGTTGGGGTTGGGGTGGGCTTGGGTTTGGAGCTGGGGT